CATGGGCGGGCGCCGGATGCCACGAGCTAACACCGGAAATGTGATCTGACGCCCGCCCTTGCCCCGCGGTTTCCGAAAACTAGTACCTCGGAGGTACTAGTTTTTTACAGCGCATCTTCGGAGTGAAGCCTCGGGTGAGCCACGGGAGCTCTACGCTTCCCAGATGTGGCCGTGAGATCGCGCCCGGAAAATCCGCCTATCTTCCGTCTCTCTAGCGTGCCTAATGCTCCGTGTGACCGGGGCCACAATTGTGCTTTCTTAAGTTACTTATATCACTTTGTATAAAGCCATGGTTTTACTTATTTATTTATTGCGAATTCTACCCCGCAAGCGGGCTCAGGGAGCTTACAACATGTCTTAAAGCCAATAAAGCCATCTCATTAAACAACAGTGCAAATAAAACAGCAATTCATTAAAAATAACATTAAATTAAATTTGATGGACACTCAATAAAATTGGTATCTGTGTAAAAGCAATAAAGATATCTGCTTGGAGGAACCTCAGTCTCAAGCTCTGTGGAAAAGTTTCACGGAAAGTGAGAAGGCCCATACAAGTCCATCTAAAATGCTTGTGCAATTGATCAATCCTAACATTTGGAAACATCAGGTAGAAAGAAGGGAACTTAATTTCATCACCGAACACTGGATCAAAGGAGTCATAAATTAACTAAGAGAAGAAAAACCTATTTTTAACACCAAGAAAGGCATCATTCAGTTTTCTAAACAAAGAGTTACATCTTTGATATAACTAATTTAATCCAACAATTATCGCACTCCGAATATTTAATTGTTGTACTGTTTTAAAAACTGATTCATAATATATTATTTAACTGTTGACGGTATTGACGAGCCTAGTTCGGTACAAAGGTGACCACGTATATACAGGGGTCATTTCATAGAAAAAGAGCTAGGGGAACTCATTAGCATAACTCATTAGCATATGCCACACCCCCTGACATCAGGGGCCCGGCGGTGGACCTGCAAGGGCAGCGGGAGTGCGAGAAAGCCCCACCAAGGCCCTCCCTGGCCCCAGGCAGGCAGGGGTGGGGAGAGGCGAGGAGGAAGCAACTTACCCTCCCTCTTCTCCTGCCTCCTCCTGGCTGAATGAGGGCTGGAAGCGGGGCGGCCGGAAGCAGGGGGCGGGGCTTCGTCATGTGCCCCGCCCCCTGCACCTCACCCAGGGGAACTGTGTTCCCCCGCGTTCCCCCCCGAAATGACCTCTGCGTATATATTGTTTTCCCTTTGTGTACCCATAATGATCAAGATGTGTACCATGAGAAATCACCTCTAATGTACTCACTAGTTGTGGCAATTGCATCTACTCCACTATGTAGCACTCCAAGGTGTCTGGGATGGAGTTTTTATGGTCAGTTCTGGCAAATGCTGTAAGGCTACTTCCAAGCATTATGATGCTTCGGATGGGGGGGGGGAGAATAAATGTGATACAATATTACAAAATTTTAAAAAATGCTTTGCCTGACCAGAAGTATCTGTAGCGTGCATCAACACAAGATTCAAGTTGTGGGGAGAGCAAGGTGCAAAGAATGCCTGGAGATTTTTTCCTTGAACAAGGGCTTGCATTCCTTTGGCACCATTATCACAGTACAAATTCTATTGTATCGTATTGTCTCTTTACTGTTTTTGCAACCGGAGTCCTAAAAAGCAAACCCTCACCCCACAATGAACCTCGTTCCACAGGAAAACATGGAAGAATTCAAAGGCTGCTACTGCAAAAGTTGCCGTGTTGATTTGACAACAGCTGCTAGAAATTTTGCCACAAACAGAGTAATTTGTCTGTCTTTGTCTCTAAGTAACCAGGGCCCCAGTCACACGGCAAAGTTGCTGCGGGAGAGGCACGGATGGTGGGCAGATTATCCGGGCGCGATCACACCCCAACATCTGGGAAGTGGAGTGCACCCGTGGCTTACCGCCAACAATGCACCTTTAAAAAGTAGTACCTCCAAGGTACTAGTAAAAGTTTGCCACGGGCTGCCTCCAGACGCCCGTGGTGTGATCGCCCCCAGCGCGCGGCATTCCCCTCCGGTCCCTCGTTTACGCGCCAGCGCCGAGGGAAGGACCCGTGGTGTGCCACCGGCGCGTCTGATCATGTAATCACGCATCAAACTGCGCTGGGGCAATTAGCCATGCCTCCCCCCACGATATCCGGCCTGTGTGACCGGGGCCCAGGATGATTTTGCTTATGGGAAGAGGAAGTCCTGATCAAATAAAGGGGAGATCAGTTCATCTCTTTTCAGTACAAATATTAGACACCAACAACCCATACTTTTCTGTCACCCTTCCCAATACACCTTCCCACGGGAGGTGGTGGCAGCTACAAGAGGGAATTAGATAAGCATATGGAGTAGAGGTCCATCAGTGGCTATTAGCCACAAGGTATAGATAGGAACTCTCAGGCTGGGGCAAGTGATGCTCTGTATTCTTGGTGCTTGGGGGAGGGGCAACAGTGGGAGGGCTCCTAGTGTCCTGGCCTCACTGGCGGACCTCCTGATGGCACCTGGTATTTTTGGCCACTGTGTGACAGAGTGTTGGACTAGATGGGCCATTGACCTGATCCAACATTGGCTTCTCTTATTTATTTATTTATTTATTTATTTATTTATTTATTTAACTAACCTTTGACTTCTATCCCGCTCACTTCCTAGGGGCTCTGACCAGCTTACAATTCCAATTAGCCAATCTAATCTAGGGCCACATATGAAGGGGAGGTGAGAAGCCTACCAGGCACCCTTATCCTGCTTTAGCAGATCTTCTTACTGCGAGGGGAGAGTCCGGCGGCAACCCTCCTCCGGCGCAGGTCTTCGCTGTTCCGCTTTTCCGGCTGTCGCAACTCTGCCTCCAGACCTGGACCACTCCGTGCTTCCGCGCATGCTCGCAGTGGCCTCCGTCCAAGTCAGGGTCCGGCCTGCCGCATTGCTCCACCTCCGCACCTCGTTGGTCCGGCCTCCTTCGTTTGCCTCCTCACCTCGCCAGCCGCCATTTTTCTCTGCCGTCGTCGTTGTTCATCGCTCTCCATTCTCCGCCATCGCTGCTACGCCAGGGACGGGTGCCCCCCCCCCGCTCTAATAGCTGGTACCCATTTTATCTACTTGCCCTTTATGTCCTTAGTGCTTGCAAGATTTTTTTCCTGTTGTATCTGTGAAAGGCAACAATTTCAAAAAATTATCTCTGACGTCCACTGCTTTACTGTTAACAAGGGAGGAGGTCATTAGGGTGGGCAACTTGTCCACTGGCACCTTGGCGAAAGCCTAGCATCCATCACCATAAATTTTAAAAGTTGCCGTTTTCCATTTTACTGTGGTATGAAGTTTGCAAGGTGAGAAAAAAACAACACAATTATTTCACAGCAGCAGCTCTTGTTGTTTTCCACCAGTGGTTCTTATTGGTCAGCAAATGTTCGACTAAACTGGGTTTTGACGTCAGGCCTGGACTGGAGTCTTGTTGTATCGCATGCTGCTGTAGTACTCAATATTTTTTTAAAATATATATATTATTACTAAGGGTCTATCAAAGAACATAAGAACATAAGAGACGCCAATATTGGATCGGGCCAAAGGCCCAGCCAGTCCAACAGAAATACCAGTGCCATCAGGAGGTCCAGCAGTGGGGCCAGGACATTTGAAGCGCTCCACTGTTGACCCCCCCCAAGCACCAAGAAGACAGAGCATCACTTGCCCCAGAGCCCCTATTTATACCTTGTGGCTAATAGCCACTGATGGACCTCTGCTCCATATGCTTATCTAATTCCCTTTTGAAGCCGACCATGCCTGTAGCCGCCACCACTTCCTGTGGCAGTGAATGCCATGTGTTAATCACTCTGGGTGAAGAAGTACTTCCTTCTACGCAATGGTTAAATTGTATGGTAAAGTGCTGGATGACACACCACACTTCTCAGGCATAGGGAATCAATCTTCAAATGTATTTGTATATCATTGTGAGAGATGGTGGTAAGGTGTTCTTGATGGCAAGAGAACAGATGGAAGGAAATAGGCGGTGTCTTACTTTGATCACAAGGTGACATCCACCGACTGTTAGGTACCACCAGCCTAGGTGGACTAGAGGGGTCAGTTTCATGAACATTGCAGACAGAACTGTGAGAAATATTGTCCGATCTTCCCTGATGCTTAAGTGTAAGAAAAATAGAGCATAGCTAGGCAATAAGTGAGGGGGTGAATTCTTACTGCTGATTTGCATCTTCTCTTCCCCAATGCATCACCAATAACACCTGGGGGAAATAATGTGACATGACATAGTCTTATCCATCATAGAATGTTAGAGTTGGAAGGGACCTTGCAGGTCATCTAGTCCAACCCCCTGCACTCTGCAGGAGCATAGCCAAAAGACAGCGCTACAACATACCCAAAAGATGGTCGTCCAGCCTCCGCTTGAAAATGTCCAGCGAAGGAGCATTCACCACCTCCCGAGGCAGTCTATTCCACTGCTCAACCACTCTTACAGTTAGGAAGTTTCTCCTGATATTTAGCCAGTATCCACTCCCTTGTAATTTCCACCCATTAGATCTACTCTTGCAATCTGGAGTAGATCTAATGGATGGAAATTACAAGGGAGTCATTACCGGCTAAATATTTCCACACCCTTTGCAACTGGCAGCCAATGAATTACAGTGGGTAGGAAAACACTGCTCCTATCATAGATTTCTTTTCCTAGACATTATCAGGCAGATGCATGGGGTAAGATGGGCCCACACATGAAAAGGCGCGTCCAGGAAAACCCATACCAGACCGCAAACCATGATCTAGTTATGTCATTTCAAAAACAAAACAGAAACTGTTATGACTTGACAAGGTTGTATGTACGGGATGCAACCAGGAGAGAGAACATGTCACAAATGTGGAGCAGACCTAGAAGGCCCTATGTGGCTCCAAGGCAGATAACTGACTTTTGTGTATCATACATACTTTCCTGCTTTAATCTGTATTTCATTTCACAGAAATCAGAAAACCACTTTCATATAAAACTTATTCATTTCTCTGGAAGCTTAACATGAATAGCTGCCCTAAGATTCGCCCAGAAAAGTCCCTGCTTGCTCTTCTCCTTGGGCCATTCCAAGTAGGTCCTCTTCGCCATGAGAGCTTTTAGTTTGTAATATTTTGCAGGAATGATGTAGGGTGGGATTGGTTCCAGCAAGAGGAGGATTAAACTGTTGTTTTTTTCTTGGAATAGCTTGTGATGGGCAAAGTAGAGCTCGTAATGACACCATTCACTCTGCACAAAATTGGGAGACAACACAAAGATGGATCGGTAACTTTTCTCAATGCAGTCGATGATATTCTCAACAATGCTCTTGCCGGCAATGAAGTTCCTTTCGTGCTGGCAGATCTGTACGGAGCCATCCTCCTTCTCCAAGTTTGGAATCAAGACATTCTTCACCCAGTCAGAATCACGCTCACTATACGAGATAAACGCATGGAATTCTATATTATCAAGAACGTCTTCGGGGTTATTTTTCCAAATCCTGTGTTTCACTTGAGTCCACTGCCACATCATCTTCAAATACCAAGGGATGTCCAGATAGATGCACAGGAAGGAAATGATAGCTGCAAAGACCACTGTAATAAAGAGAACTAAAGTAACCAAAAGTGTCGTGTTGCAGACAAGTTCAGAGACATGAAAATCCTGTAACTGGGTTCCTCGTACATCTTCTGGGTATTCGCACCGATAAGACTCGGGCCAGCCAACCAATACCACCAATCCTTGTTTTCTAAGATCAATTAATTCTCGTATTTCACAGGAACACATGAAGGGATTGTGCTCTGCTTTTACTTCTCTGATGCTCTGACAGGTATGGTAGAATTGGGAAGAGGGTGTGACTATTGAATTCATTTCTGTATTCAGTGATCTCAGACTCCTAAACTGACCACACCCAGGCAGATCAGTCAGCCTATTAGAAGCCAAATTCAGCTCTTCCAGAGCTCTGAGCTCAACGATCATGCTGGGGATACTTGAAATTTGGTTGTTCTGTAGATCAAGCTTTTGGATGTTGACTGGCAAACAGTGAAAGACGGAATCGGACAACAGGTTGGATGACAAATTCAGTTCCACCAGATTTTCACCCCAGTGGCACCCTTTCTCATGGACTTCGTGTTGCAATAAATTCTGGCTCATGTCCAGATATTTCAGAGACTTCATGTGACGGGTCATTAAACTCATTTTCATTAGATTCGTAAGCCGATTCCCTGATAGAATAAGTGTTTCGAGGAGTGTCAGATTATTGCAGCTTTCGAAAACTGAATCTGTTAAAATATTATAAGAAAAACATAGGTAGGTAAAATGACTGGGTTTGGAAGGGCACAGCATGTGTATCAGCTTGGCACCAGAAATGGTCATGGCTGTGATGTTCATCTCCGAAAATATCCTATACATGTATTTTGGATCAGCTTCAATGGTAAGGATTATAGTCTCTTTAATTTCTAATGTTTTTAGAGATGTTTTGGTATAGTCAAAATTGTTTTTATCAGTTGCATCCATCCAAGCGGCATTAGAGATCACTAAATGTTCCACGGTCGTTTCCCATGCGGCCTGTAGAATGCTGATGAAGTCTTCCCAGGAGCACTGCATATTGTTCAATGTCAGGTTTAGTAATCTTCCGCTTCTACTGAGAGGAACCTCCTTAACTCATTGACTTGCTTGCCATGGATGTTGAACAGTTCTAAACTTTCTGTCGCGCTGAGTTCTACGTCTGCGAGAATATGGAAATCTCTGCGGGGGGATACAATCTGAATGGTCTTTGTGTTGAACGCTGGGATACTCGCAGCTCTGTATTCAGAGAGGTCTTCTAGATTCAGGAAAAGAGTATCCAGTTGTAAATCAGTAAGTGCGCTGAAATCTGATCCCCGTATCCTTTTAGGACTGAGACGAAGATACTGCAGTTCTGGCATGTCAATCTTGGAGCAGATGGGCATGTCTGTATAGTTATTGTAAGTGAGATCCAGATGCCGGAGACGTAGAACAGCATGACAGGAAAGGGTCTGTAACACGTTGTGTGATAAATCCAGGTGTTCTAAGTCTACATTGTATTGGAAGACACCAAAGTCAAGCTCACGGATGACATTACGAGACAAGTTTAAAACCTGCAATCTCAAAATATAACTAAAATCTGAAATATGGAGTTCAGATATATTATTCTGTGATAAATCCAGCACTGTTGTCTCTTCTGGAAGGTTCTTAGGAACTTCATTAAGAAATCTGTTTGAATAGACGGCAGAGAATCCAGTGTCCTCTGATGGATGAGTATTATTCCAGAAGGCCATTATAAAAAAGAGAATGCTACAGGAGTTCCTGGCATCTGGGCTTCTTCCTTTAGCCATAATGCACAAACTTTCTTTAAATAAGCTTAGTGGCTGACTTTCATCCCTCCATGTCAGCCACCGTCCTGTAAACAGAATTTGCATTAGAAGATTGTTATAAACACTTTCAAGGTTTAAGAAGAATCAGCAACCTACTATTTCTAAATGCCGAATACTTTTATTTCCTATTTCGGTTAACAACTACACTCATCTTTCAGTGTGTGTAGGAGGACTTCCTGTCTTTTCAGATGGCAGGCAGCAATGGTCTAACAGTCTAGCGAGCAGGGGGGGAAATTACCATTAATAACATCTGTAGCGTTTCCGCAACTTAAACCTGCAGCTGCTAGTAATGTGGCTGTCTTTATACGAGGTGGCATATGCACTGGGTGAAGAAGAGCCTGCAAACTGTATGGACTCTGGGGAAATATATATATTTGCATTATGCTTAAGGAGCAATGTTCCACCTCCTCAGGGTACCCAGCGTGGTGTAGTGGTTAAGAGAGGCAGACTCTAATCTGAAGAACCAGGTTCGATTTCCCACTCCTCCACATGAAGCCTGCTGGGTGACCTTGAGCCAGACACAGCTCTCTCAGAGCTCTCTCAGCCCCTCCTACCTCACAAGCTATTTGTGGTGGGGAGAGGAAGGGAAGGCGATTGTAAGCTGCCTCGAGACTGCTCAGCAGAGAGAAAAGCAGGGGATAAAATCCAACGCCTCTTCTTCTACCCAGTGGTGGGTGTTTATGTAGTAGCATTTACCTTTTCAGAAACAGTTTTTCCAAATAAAGGGAGACTGCCATTATCAAGCATGGAGGCAACCTTACAGCATCTTCTTATTTGAAGTGGGATGATTGCTTCAAAGAAGAAGATGCTGTAAGGTTGCCTCCCTGTTTGAGAGGAGATGTATGGAGCGTAACGGCAGGGTCTCAATTACTCTCAGCACTCCACAATTAAGGATACATCTGCCCATCAATCTCCAATTTTGACATATATTTTTCCCTTCGCTATGTTTTCCCCCTGGAATTAAACAAAAACAAGTGGTAACCATATAAACTAAGCTTGTTATTCCTGTTTGGTCCTTGAATCTGTTCAACATCTTCATTATGCTGTATGCTAATTTACTGCTCTTACCCTCTACCTATACGTATGAACTGGCAATTTCCATTTCATTGTACTCGAAGAAGTGTGTGTGTGTACACACAAAAGGTTATACCTTGAATAAAACTTTGTTGGTCTTCAAGGTGCCACTGGACTCAAACTTTGTTACACACATAAGAGAAGGGAGATAGAGCCTGCCCAATCAGCCCCGCACTACAGGGCTTGGCCAGGGGCCTATGTTGCTGCACAGGGTGAGGCAGTGTGTGTCATTCCACACATTGCAAATGGCAAGGTTGGGTGCATCCTTCGCCATGCCAGGCGTGACCGGACACAAACTTCACTGTACCTCACAGGGCGAGGGCTGCCAGATAGTATTAAATGTATTAAAGGTAAAGGTTCCCTTGCTCGAAAGCCAGTCGAATCCGACTCTAGGGTTGCGGTGCTCATCTCCGTTTCCAAGCCGAAGAGCCAGCGCTGTCCAAAGGCGTTTCCGTGGTCATGTGGCCAGCATGACTAAACACCAAGGCGCACGGAACGCTGTTACCTTCCCACCTAAGTGGTACCTATTTATCTACTTGCAATTTCTTGCTTTTGAACTGCTAGGTTGGCAGGAGCTGGAACTAGAGACGGGAGCTCACTCCATCATGTGGCAACTCGGGTCTCGAATTGCTGAACTACCGACCTTCCACAGCCTGCAGTTCAGCGTCTTAATCACTTGAGCCACCGCAGCTCCTATTAAATGTATTACCTGTGAACTATTTCTAGCTGGGACGTGACTGTCCACCAACCACTGAGACCTATCTAGGTTTTCAAATGTATGAACTCTTTTACTTTCACTTTTTCGGCCCCTCCCAATTCTTATAAGGTTCTTTTTTATTCCAGCACAAACTTTTCTGAACGAAAGCACAAATGCTTAGGTTGCAATGAATCTGTTCTCAGGAAGGTACAGTGTAGGACCGCCAGTTTCCAGGTAGTGTGAGATCTCCTAGGATTACAACTTCAGGGGTCATTTTGTAGAAAAAGAGGTGCAGGAGCTCAGTAGCATAACTCATTAGCATAACTTATTTGCATATGCCACACCCCCTGACATCACGGGAAGTGTGTCAGAAGGCAGCACCCACCGCTCAGGCTCCACTGGACTGTTTTGGATTGCTAGCTATTGGGGGGGGGGCATGCAGATCTGTCCTCACAGAGGAGGGAGAGCTTGTACCTGAATAAAACCTGGTCTTAAAGGTGCCACTGGACTGTTTTGGACCGAGGGGCCGGGGGGGGGCTCTGCAACTTACCCGGCTGCTTCTTGCTCTGACTGAGGGCTGCTGGGAGCAGGGGGTGGGGCTTGTTGCATGTGCCCGCCCCCTGGGCTCTTTACTGCCGGAGCTCCGCTCCTGTGCGCTCCTGCTGGAAATGACCCCTGCAACTGATCACCACTAGGCGTCAGAAATCAGTTCACCTGGAGAAAACGACTGCTTTGGAAGGTGGGCTGTATTGACATGATACCCCATTGAAGTCCCTCCCCTCCCCAAACCCTGTCCTCCTCAGGCCCCACCCCCTAAATCTCCAGGTATTTCCCAGTCAAAATGCCCATAAGAGATGCCCGGGCATTAGTGGTGAAGGATATAACGAGCTGGCCTATGTGAGAGCCAGTTTGGTGTTGTGGTTAAGTGCGTGGACTATAATCTGGGAGAACCGGGTTTGATTCCTCCACTTGCACCTGGCTGGATGACCTTGGGCAAGCCGTAGTTCTGATAAGAGCTGCTCTTGAAAAAGAGCAGTTTCTGTCAAGAGCTCTCCCAGCCCCACCGTACCTCACAGGGTGTTTGTTGTGGGGAGGGGAAGGGAAAGGAGTTTGTAAGCCGCTCTGAGACACCTTTGATAGTGAAGGGCGGGGTATAAATCCAATCTCTTCTTCTTCTTCTTAAATTAAGGTGTGCAGGTATGGTTGCCAGCCTCCAGGTGGTGGCTGGAGATCTCCTGGGATTACAACTGATCTCCAACCGACAGAGATCACTTCACTGGGAGGAACAGGCCAATTTGGAAGGTGGACTCTATGGCTTTATACCCCACCGAAGTCCCTTCCCTCCCGTTCCCTCCTCAGGTTCCACCTAGGGATGCCAGCCCCCAGGTGGGATCTGGGGATCCCCTGGAATTACAACTCATTTGGTAACCCTACCCCCCACCCTGGCCGGGGGTAGGGTTGTCAGCCTCCAGGTGGAGCCTGGAGATCTCCTGCTTTTACAGCTGATCTCCAGCTGAGAGATCAGCTCCCCTGGAGAAAATGGCTACTTTGGAGGGTGGGCTCTGTGGCATTGTACCATGATGGGGCCCCTCCCCAAACCCCGCCCTCTCCTGGATCCACCCCCCCCCATGTCTCCAGGTATTTTCCAGCACAGCGCTGGCGACTCTGGGGGGGGGGAACCTGGCAACTCTAGCACCTCCAAAATCTCCAGGTATTTCCTAGGCTTGCCAGGTCTGGGATGGAAAATACCTGAAGACTTTGGGGGTGGATCCGGGAGAGGGCGGGGTTTGGGGAGGGGAGGGGCCTCAGCAGGTTACAATGCCACAGAGCCCACTCTTCAAAGCAGCCATTTTCTCCAGGCACGGTTGCCACTAAAATTTTATTTTTCATTTCCCTGACCAACATTTGTCAATTTCCCTGACCACCATTCAAATATAACCACAAGTTAAAAAATGAATAGGTCGTGTTGCATTAATGAAAGGCTTAATGAAATGTTCCACTCTACAACTACACAAGCCTCAACTGCAAAAATATTTGTCAAAGTAAGAGATTTAATATCAGCTTCTTTTAACATTAACTGCAGCAACATCTGTTTTGCAATTGCACCAAAATTACACCAAGATACAAACTTCAATTGAAGTAAACTCTGAATGCTAACAAATGACATTACGTTTTTGTTATTGTTTTAAAGGTACACTAAACATTATATTAGGAGCTGCGGTGGCTCAAGTGGTTAAGACGCTGAACTGCAGGCTGTGGAAGGTTGGTAGTTCAGCAGTTCGAGACCTGAGTGTGCCGTATGATGGAGTGAGCTCCCGTCTCTAGTTCTAGCTCCTGCCAACCTAGCAGTTCGAAAGCAAGAAAATTGCAAGTAGATAAATAGGTACCACTTTGGTGGGAAGGTAACAGTGTTCCGTGTGCCTTGGTGTTTAGTCATGCCGGCCACATGACCACGGAAACGTCTTCAGACAGCGCTGGCTCTTCGGCTTGGAAACGGAGATGAGCACCGCAACCCTAGAGTCGGACTCGACTGCCTTTCGAGCAAGGGGAACCTTTACTAAACATTATATGTTCTATCTAAAATGGTTTCTCTGAAGCCACATTACGAAACTTATACTTTTGAAATGGCAGTAATAATCTAGTTAGAAATTAGAATACAAGTAATCTCTTTTTAAAGGATGAAGAGTTAAGATATAAAACTAACACTTCTATAGGCTTCCCTTTTTATTTTGTAACTCTTTTTGTTTCTCATCAATTGTTTCTCTTCCATTTGCCACAAGATCATGCTCTTGCAGCGGCAGGTCAAAAATCCACTGCTTGAATATATTTCAGTCACAATTTCCCTGACTTTCCCCGACGTCAGGCCAATTTCCATGACTTTCCCTGACCAATTTCCATTTCCCTGACGTTCCCGAAAGCGGCAGCCCTGCCAGGGGAGCTGATCTCTGTCAGCTGGAGATCCGTTGCAAAAAGCGGGAGATCTCCAGGTCCCACCTGGAGGCTGGCAACCCTAGTATTTCCCAGTCCGAGCTGGCGACCTTACCTGCAGGCTGGGTCTACATTTGGGGGCGGGGGGATGCAGCCCCACCGAAAATCCCCATCAGCCGTGGCGTGGAGAGCGCCTCCTCCTCGTGGCCGCACGTGGGAAAGAACGGTCCAAAAGTGGCCAGTTTTGTGCTTTCCCGCCGCTTCCCTCCTCCTCGCGTCTCGCCCAAAGTTTGCAAGAAACACTCACCGGGCGGCGAATGCGCTTCACAGCCGAGGGGAGGGCCGGGCGTGAGCCGCCGAAGCCCGTCCCATTCTCTGGGCGCTTCCCATCTCCTCCTCCTCTTCGTCGCCAGCCTTCTCCCAGCCTGTGCCGACGTGGCCGGGCGGAAAGAGGAAAGTGCAGGGGCCGCGCCGGGGAACGGGCTCCGCTGCTCTGCGGTAATGTGGCTTCTAATGCTTCTTCTGCTTCCTTTTTTCTAGCGTTGCATGACCCGAGAGGGGTGGGGTGGGGGGGAAGCGCTCTCTTCCCGGCACGCAGATCGGCAGACAGAAGCCCCGTCCTCCTTCCCCACTTCTTAAAAGCCGCAGAAAGCAAAACCCTGTTGCTTCCCCTCCCCTTTTGGGCGCACTGGTGTAAACGGGCGGAGATTGGAGTTGGTCACAAATTCAGTGTTCCCTCTAAGCTGAGTGAGTGTGAGCCAGCTCACCGTTTTTTAGCCTCCGGCTCACACATTTCTGTCTTAGCCCAGGAAGGATGGCCCCAGAGCAAACTAATTTATACAGTAGCCAAATCGCTCGCTCGCAGCTTTCATGCCAGCAGCTCACAAAGTGGACTTTGTGCTCACAAGAATCCACAGCTTAGAGGGAGCATTGGTCACAATAATAATAATAATAATAATAGTTCAGCTTTCTGCCTTTCTCCAGCCATCTCCCCTCCCCAAAATAAGGGGGGGAGGTCCTAGCCAATGCTCCCTCTGAGTTGTGAAGTCTCGTGAGCGTGAGCTTACTGGCATTAAAGTTGTGAGCGAGCGATTTGGCTGCTGCATACATTCGTTTGCCCTGGGGCCCCCCATCCTTCCTGAGCGCAGACAGAAATCTGTCAGCTGGAGGCTAAAAAAACTGTGAGCTAGCTCTCACGCACTCAACTTCGTGGGAACACTGGTCCTAGCTGGTTTTTCTGCCACCAAAGAAGTTTCTTGTGGTCAGTTGGCCAGTCCACGTAATACTGCAATCCTGGACAAATGACCCCAGTCTAAACCCCGTGAAATTAGCGCATAAGAATCATTTGCAAACCTCTTTGTGTCATTCTCCTGGGTATCATGAGCAGTTTTGAAGAGTTAGGATGACTGTGCTGCTTTGGCTGCTGCGGTCACACACACACGCACATTAAATAATCCAGTCTCGGTCCACTTTCAATGCACACTTTCCAACTGGATTTGTGTGAACTGGCAAAATCCAGTTGGAAAGTGCATTGAAAATGGATTATTCAGTGTGGGTGACCACAACCTTTGTTGATGTGTCTAAGTTCCTCTTTTATGTTTCTCCACGTGCTGCCAACAAACGGTGTGTTTCTGAGCCTTTTCTAATATTGGTGGTATTGCATTTTGAGACGGTATTAAAGAAAATTTATTTTCAATAATTATTTGCAAACCAGTTTATTTCCTACATTATTGCTGTCTCCCAAGGACGCTTCTCAGGAGACATTATGGTCGAATCTGTATTTGCATTTTTAAATCAGTTTCGTGCTTCTGTGATACTGTATTTCTCTATGCTTGTTTGAATGTTGTTTGGAGAAGATTCTTTTAAAGCAGTGCAGAGGTGCAATGACAGTGGAGCCGCCCAGAAAGGGCGATAAGCATATGCAGACGCGCAAAAGTATGCTAGCACTGTTGAGGTGTGAAAACGACACCAAATGTAGTCAGCTTTTTTGAAGGTGGAGTCAAAAGGCTGGGACACCGGTGGGAAAGACAAATGCAGATTCGGCCATTGTGAGAGCGCACCAACTTAAAATTTAAACTTGTGAGGCACAGAAGAAGACTACTTTGAGGAATGTGCACTGCTGTAGAAGGTTTGCACAAGGATCTGTTTGTCTGGGATCCCTGCCACATGTATTCATTTTTTTAAAAAAACCTCACGTTTTCCTTAAATGTATGTATCGGATATTGCTGTTGAGGAATAGGTGAACTTTGGAAAGAATTTATTTTTAAGACCTTGTTGCGTCAGCAGATGTCACTCTAATTCAAGGAGTTGGGTTTATTGGTTTACATTTCTTCGACAAAAGTATATGCCCCAAAGCAATGTCTGTAAATATGTTTTTTTTTTCCTATTTAGCTGTTTTCTTGCTGGTGAATAAGAATGTCATATCCTGTTTGACTTTTTGTGATGTTGTTTTTATTTTTGTGTGAATTGAATCAGGATGATAAATAATAACAATAAATGAAAATATAGCATTACTAGAGTATGTCATCAACCTCAAAGATTTCTGTTTTGAAGCATGCAGAGTTTCAGATTACTGTTTGATAACCTTTCTGTCCAAATAATTAATAATATCATTATTATAACAGTGACAGACTATACTAGATGGATTCACTGCATAGAATCTGTTTCTGTTTACATCATTTGTGTTCATATTTCCCAAAGTTATGCTCTTTTGTTTGTTTGCTGTTGAAGATAATGAAACTACCAGACACAGTATTATAATAGGAAAACTGAGAAGTACAAATAATTTGTCAGGTGACATCAGGGTCCCCATTGCATTGTTAAAGTTCCTCAGTTACAATATATAACATTTACATTTTTAAGACACATTCTGCAACTGTATATAGTGAACTAAATTGAGTATTTTAAGCACTGTTGCCTTTGGTATCTAACCTTTAACCTCCCCTGAATCATAACAGAAAAGCAGACCAAGTTGTATGGACATAATCTCATTCATGAATATCTGCCAAATGTCTACTTATAGCCATAAGGTTGCCAGCTCTGGGTTTGGAAATTCCTGATCGTGTGGATGCGGGATATTGGACATAATATAGATTTAGATGACTGGTCAAAAACGTGGAACTCAATAAAATTCACTAGAGCTACGGCCTACATTTACAAAATGTTCCATAGATGGCATTGGTCCCCCGAAAAACTAGCTGTTATTCAAATGTAACAAGTATATGTTGGAAATGTAAGAAAAATGTTAGGTCTTTTTTCATTTGTGGTGGGTGTGTCGGAAAAGTCAAAAATGTTGGTCAAAAATTCAAAAAATGATACAAGAAATAATAGGCACTAATCTACCATTAAAACCTGAGATTTATTTATTGAATATGATACCACAGGGATATAATAACTTAGATTTACGTTTGATAATATATATTCTTACTTTGGCTAGAATTTTGTTCGCAAAACACTGGAAATCGGAAAACATCCCAACAAAAGAGGAATTGATACAAAGACTATTTGAGATGGCAGAGATTGATAGATTGACTCTATTTCTACAAAGGAAAGACGAAGAGATTTACTTGAAACTTTGGTCAAGAGTGTATAATCTCTCCTTATATATAACTGAACTAGAAATAAGGCCCGTTGTGGAAATAAATACAACGGAATCTAGAAAGAGGCTCTGGGAGAGTGCTCTGGCTTTGGGCAAACAGTGTCAGTCTGCTTTTAAAACATGAACCTGGGACCTGCACACCACCAGAATACAGCAGGTTCCATATGCAACTGACATTCCAACTGCCTTGGAATTCAATTATATTCAATTATATATAAGGAGAGATAGTGGGTGCCAAAGTTCTAATTCTAAAATGCACTCCCTTAGTGTATGGCTGATGGCACTGCTCCTCAGCATATATCGCCACCAATCAGAAGGCAAAGCCCGGGTCCCGCCCACACCACAACTGCTGCGACAACCTGGTCTTTTGCATATGGAAGCTGATTGGACTTCACTCCATTCCACACCTCAAACTCCCCCCCTCCCCCCCCCGCAAGGCAGTTGGAATGGCAGTTGCATATGGAATCTGCTGTATTCTGGTGGTCCCAGGTTCATGTTTTAAAAGCAGGTCCCAGGTTCATGTTTTAAAAGCAGACTGACACTGTTTGCCCAAAGCCAGAGCACTCTCCCAGAGCCTCTTTCTAGCTTTCGTTGTATTTATTTCCACAACGGGCCTTATTTCTAGTTGGATATAAAGGATATTGGAATGTTGTTGTTGTTCAGTCGCACAGTCGAGTCTGACTCTTCGCGACCCCATGGACCAGCTCCCTCCAGGCCCTCTGGTCTTCTGCCGTCCTCTGAATATCATTGGAATGTTAGGCCTCTCATTATTATATTTGTAGTTGGGTCGCAGTTTGGGCACTCGGTCTCTAAAAGGTTCGCCATCACTGGACTAGTGTTTCTGCGATGACTGGCAACTGAATGTGTGAAAAATTAAGCAGGAGTCCAGTGGCACCTTAAAAAACCCAAAATTTTATTTTGGCAAAGAGCTCGTTTCAATAGATGCATTTGATGAAGTGAAGTTGTACTGGGATTCATGTTGTTAGTCTTTTAAAGTGCTGCTGGATTTAAGTTTGCTGCAACAGATGCAAACTCTCTTGCCTCAGGCCCACTTCTTACTATTCAGTTCTGAGCGTGACAAAGGATCATGGAATGACAAAGAGCCAGTTCCAAACGTTTCGTTATATGCAGAAGATGTTATTCAGTGAAATAATGCGACCCCGTAGCCCTTTTCAGTTGTTACGATTTTGGCGCTCTGGCCTTGCATACCAAGCGGGTACGTGATGCGTGAAGCTGTTGACCACCACGCTTGCCATTTTGTGTGAATAGGGCAAGGCGCGTGTTTTGCATCTTCGGCACACACAATCGGAAACCCAATTTATTGAAGTGTGTGTTTTGTACATTCCAAAGCTGGAGAATACACGTATTATTAGGAAGGGAATGTCTGGTGGCACTCATGGTGCAACAATTAAAGAGAAAACTCGTGGGCATGAAATTGCTGAGCGGTCGGGTTAGAACAGATAAAAGGAAGTACTTCTTCACCAAAAGAGTGATTAACACATGGAATTCACTGCCACAGGAGGTGGTGACGGCTACAAGCATGGACAGCTTCAAGAGGGAATTGAATAAACGTATGGAGCAGAGGTCCATCAGTGGCTATTAGCCACAAGGTATAGATAGGAACTCACAGGCTGGGGCAGGTGATGCTCTGTATTCTTGGTGCTTGGGGGGGGAGCAACAGTGGGAGGGCTTCTAGTGTCCTGGCCCCACTGCTGGACCTCCTGATGGCACCTGGTATTTTTGGCCACTCTGTGACACATTCAGACGGGGGCTTTACATCGGTTAGGGTGCCGGTTCCAACCGGTGTACTCACCGGCGTTCAGACGGGGAACATCTGCCTCCTGTCCCTAACCGGTATAAAGCCCTTTACACCGTTGCACTCTGCCACTAGGTCCCAAGTGGTGGTATACTGAGTGCAACGGTTGCTTCCGATCTTCCCCGGCATCTCATCGCTCTCCACCGGTGCCTAGCCATTTCCATCAGAGGCCTGAGGCTTCCGGTTTTCCCCCGCCATTATTATTATTTTTTTAAAAAAACAGAGCGATATGTGCTCGGGCGAAGCTTCGCCCTGAGCATTTGTTAAAAAAAAAAATCCCTTACTTTACCTATCCGGCGGAGTCCGGGACTTCAGGGAGGCCAGGTTGGGCTTTAAACTTTAAAGGTAAGTCCTTACCTTTAAAGTTTAAATGTAATGGGGGGGTTGAGCATGTGCAAAGATAGCCATTCTGTGAATGGCTGCCTATGCGCATGCTCAAACTGTGTTTTAAAAAAAAAACCGCCGACGCCCGCAGCGTGTGAGCAGGCGTACACCGAAGGGATCCGCAAAATGGAGGTAAGTGTGATCGCGTTTCTGTCGGCATAAACTGCACCGGTTCCAACCGGTGCAGTTTATGCCGGCAGAAAGCCCCCGTCTGAACGCACCCAGAGTGTTGGACTGGATGGGCCATTGGCCTGATCCAACATTGGCGTCTCTTATGTTCTTATGTACCTCGGGTCACACAAAATGGTCAGTGTGCACATTGAGAGGATTACATGTAGTGTACTCTCATGGTAAGCAAGGCAGGAACAGCAAAATCATAATCAGTAAAAAGGGTTTGCATGATTTTGAAAGGTTCACGGTTATCCTGAGGTAGGTTCTGGTATTCTTCAATCACAAGGGGGAAATGTTAGTTTTCATATGTTTACAATTGCATATTACATATCTTCCTTTTTTGTCTTTATGCAGAATTTTAAAAATGTCTGGCGGCACTCATGATGCAACAGTTAAAGAGAAAAACAGAGACATGGTGGAACCAAGAAGTATTGTTTCAATCTCTGCCACAGAGATACAGAGCGAAATACACAATGAAATGCAACATGAGACGCAAGTTTCTGAATGCCCAGACAATGGACAGGAAGGGGACCCGGCCATAGCAGGGCATCCTTTGAATGAGGACTGCTCTAGTGGAGACATAGCTGAGATTGATCCCGGTGAATGCAGCGAGACTGTGAACCTCCAACCAGAACCTGAATCTGAAATACTGAATGAACAGAGTAGCCCAGTAAGAAACACTCTTCACTTTCTTCCAAAAACATTGTCCCCTATTAATATATCTGTTCAACAATGTAGTAGAAGGAATATCTTAAATAGGACGTGTTTGCATATTCCTTAGGGTGCTGGAACTGTGTTGAGTTTTTACCCATACACCTTATAGAGGGAGCAGATTTGACATAGGTTTTTTGTATTCCAGCTGCACCTTCACCTTTAGGGTGCTGGCACTGTGTTGAGTTTTTAACCCATACACCTTATAGAGGGAGCAGATTTGACCCTTAGTTCCACTGTTATCATGTATCAGTGCCTGCCTCCATTCTTCTTTGCCTGATGCTCGCAGGATACAGAAAAGTCGGACCAGAACCAATAGGTTGAAATGAAATCAGAAGAGTTTTCGGCTAAACGTTAGGAAGAACTTCCTGACAGAGTAGAACAGGCTTCCTCCGGAAGTGGTGGGCTCTCCTCCTTTGGAGGTTTTCAAATAGATGGCCATCTGACAGCAATGCGGATTCTGTGAACTTAGGCAGATCATGAGAGGGAGGACAGGAAGGGTTGCCTCAGTGCTTAGTTCTTGTGGCCCTTTTTTACATGCCCAGGGAAATGCTGATTGCCAGTTTGGGGTCAGGAAGCAATCCTGGAGGTTTTTTGTAATCTTCTGGGCGTGGGACAGCGGTCACTGCGGGTGTGGAGGGAGAGGTATTTGTGAATTTCCTGCATTGTGCAGGGGGTTGGACTAGATGACCCTGGAGGTCTCTTCCATGATTCTATGAAAGGTGTGTATGCAAACCATATGTGTGTGGGCAAAGCATCTTTATGAAGGGGCCTCTGGGCCACATAAGCTTATGCCACGGTAAATCTGTTAGTCTTTACAGTGCCACAGATAGTTTTGATTTTGTTGTAACAGTTTTAACATGGCAACCTATCTGGAATTTGTTACAATACTATTTAGTAATGTGATTCATCAGCCCCTCCCCTGATCATTTTTTGATGGCCTGCACGCCCACATCTTTGGGTGCAGAAAGGAACAGCACTGTATAGCATGTCAGAGGAATGTGCAATGCCATCTTTTAGTGAGAGTGGCATTATTGAAAAAGACGTTCAAATGGAAACAACAAACTATGCTTTTGTTCTTACAGTGTGTTCACATAATATTGCATTGTTCTAAGCGTGGGGTATTGTATGCTTTTAGTTTCTGGGCAGAAACAAATGTTTGGGAGTATGTAATAGCTGCTATTTCTGCCTGTCAGCGTTCAAATATTGCTTTGTTAAGGATATGGGGAAAATATATCAAAAACTGCTTTCTCTCTCTTTTTGCATTCCTTATCACATGAGTGCAGAATTCCAGGAGCCTTTGGGAAATACCCAGGAATGCATTCCCAAGAAACGAGGGGTAATTTATCACACACTGTCACATGAATAGATTCTGCTATTATTTGAGCTGCAAGAAGACAGATTGGTCCAAAGTAAAAGCCAAGACCAAGTAAAATAGCACGCTTATTTTGATTGGTCTTAATAAAAGATTTAGAAGGGTGTCACTCATGCTTAAGATTACACTGTTGATCGTTTTAGAATTCATAACCACCAGAGAAATCAAATCAATTTCTAAACCTAGGTCAACTCATCATTGTTAATAATACTAAAGTATCAAAGTACACTCAGGATAACAAACGTGAGGTAGAGATCCCGTAGTATGGAAGTAAGGCAACTCAGCATACTCTGAACTAATGATCCCTAATGTGGCACCTAGAATCATAGAGTTGGAAGGGACCTTCAGGGTCATCTAGTCCAACCCCCTGCACAATTCAGGAAATTCACCTCCCCCACACCCCCAGTGACCACTGTTCCACGCCCAGAAGATGACAAGAAACCTCCAGGATCACCAGCCAAACTGGCCTGGAGAAAAATTGCTTCCTGACCCCAAAGTAGTGATCAGTATTTCCCTGGGCATGTAAGAAAGGGCCACAAGAAATAAGCACTGATGCAGCCCTTCCTGCCCTCCCTCTCATGATCTGTCTGTTCACAGAATCAGCATTGCTGTCAGGTGGCCATCTAGCCTCTGTTTGAAAACCTCCAAAGGAGGAGAGCCCAGGGCTATTTTTGGGCAGGAACGCACAGGAACGGAGTTCCGGCTGGCTCCCAAGTTGGCCACGCCCAGCAGGAACTCATTAGCATAATAGGCCACACCAAACAGCAGAAACTCATTTGGATTGGCTACATTAGGGGTGTGTGGCCTAACATGCAAAAAGCCCTGGGTTTTGACAACAAACAAGGTAAAGAGAATAAGAAGCAAAAGGTGGGTGTGGCTGGATGACCACACTTCTGGTAACATGGGGTGTGGCCTAATATGCAAATGAGCTGTGCTGTCAGGGGTGTGGCCTATTATGCTAATGAGTTCCTGCTGGGCTTTTTCTACAAAAAAAGCCCTGGGAGAGCCCACCACCTCCTGAGGAAGCCTGTGGACATAGTGCCCACCAGTAGTTTTCCTGACACAAATTCGCTTGTTCCCCAAAGCAAATGGGCTTCCTCAACCTCCTTGTAGTAGGAGGTACTTCAGAAGAACCTTGTTAGGTCCGCAGACCGCCACTTGGCGCCAGCGGTATGTGACCAGAGCTTGGCTCCAAAAGAACAATGGGGACTAGGATCATGAGACTCCTAGTCGACACCTATAGGAACTGTGACGGGAAGTTCAAACCTGCCAATGGGACCTGTGGGTGGCACCCGGGGACTGTATATAGAAGAAGAAGAAAAGATTGGATTTATACCCCGCCCTTCACTACCCAAGGGAGTCTCAGAGCGGCTTACAAACTCCTTTCCCTTCCCCTCCCCACAACAGACACCCTGTGAGGTAGGTGGGGCTGAGAGAGCTCTTGACAGAAACTGCTCTTTTTTCAAGAGCAGCTCTTATCAGAACTACGGCTTGCCCAAGGCCATCCAGCCAGGTGCAAGTAGAGGAGGGGGGAATCAAACCCGGTTCTCCCAGATTAGAGTCCGCACACTTAACCACTACACCAAACTAAACCAAACAAGTTGGTCATTCAACCATTTGTTGGTTGTTGTGTGCAAGTAAAGTATGAGCTGCTAATCACTCAACGTCTGTCTTCACTACGCATCGAACCCAGTACACAACAAACCTCTAATCCTTTGTGTCTGCAACAAGCACCCGTTTAGAAACAGCTGCCTCCGTTATAGGTTGCTTGGATTGTACCTTCCCAAAATTTTGCGATTGGTCCCAGCATACCATGGCAGGGCAGCCATCTTGTTATGGCTTCCTATGGCAGCCATTTTGTGGTGGCACCCACTCCACATTCTCAGCATTCCAAAAGTGCCCACGGTCTTAATGAGACTGGGGACCTATGCTCTTAACAAAGAGGTACGTGGACGGTCCTTTCCCATTGGATGGATCCATGTTAGCAGAGACTGAGGTGCACCCAGAGGGAAAAGGCACATTTCCTTTCCACTCATGATTTTTCATATTCTTCTATAGCCATTTTGCCTCTAGGGCTGGGGAGGTAGAAACCCAGTGAAAAGGTAGACTAGTGCTTTACTGGGTAGAGCAAGCATCCTCAGGTGCATCTGTACATCACTGGATATTGTACTATCATTGCACTTTTTGTTGCTGTTGTTCAGTCGCACAGTCAAGTCCGACTCTTCACGACCCCATGGACCAGATCACGCCAGGCCTTCCGGTCTTCCGCCGTCCTCTGAAGTTGGCTCAACTTCATGTTCGTTGCATCTATGACACTGTCTAACCATCTCATCCTTTGCCGTCCCCGTCTTCTTTGACCTTCAATCTTTCCCAGCATCAGGGTCTTCTCCAGTGAGTGCTCGCTACTCATTGGGTGGCCAAAGTATTTGAGCTTCAGTTTCATTATCTGGCCTTCCAGGGAACAGTCAGGGTTGATTTCTTTTAGGATTGACTGATTTGATCTTCTTGCAGTCCAAGGGACTCTCAAAAGTCTTCTCCAGCACCATAGTTCAAAAGAATCTATTCTTCGGCGCTCGGCCTTCCTTCTAGTCCAACTCTCGCAGCCATACAGTACTACTGGGAATACCATTGCTTTGACCATGCAGACATTTGTTGGCAGGGTGATGTCACTACCACAGTCATTTGCAACAACTGACTTGTGACTGATTGCTGAAGCCTAACAGTAGCGCTATATTCTGTGATGTAGGAGTGCAGTTCTCCCTACCTTTGTGTCTCTCAGCTTGTTGCTGTGATCTGAGGAGGCAAGTCAGGTATGAAGGGATATGGAGACTTTCTGTTATTTTTGTTGGAACCCGTGGATTTCTCTGTGCACAGAACTGTACTACCTCTGCCGCTCTTGACTGCACAGTGTTTTGGCTCTGTATATAAATATATATGCCCCCCAGAGAGCAGGTGTGTGGGCTACAATTTAAACCCAAGAGCAGCCTAAAGATGAAAGGTAACACTTGGCTTTTATATAGATGATTAAATTTGCCTTCATGTTAAAAGTTCCACGAGACTTTGAATTTGGCCCCAGGTGAAAGCGTATAACTGATAGCATCCTTATTGCTTGGGCCTATAATGAATAATAAAACCATACTAGCAGTTGTTGCTTTTTTTCCCCAGTCAGCAAAATGAAATAAATGTTCAGTAATACTGCATTTAGTGAATTCTTCATGTTAGAATGTAGGCTGAAAAGACGCATGATGGATTTTGGACAAAGGAAATGTAGGGCAATAACTGAAAGAGAAAATGATTTGTTCTGTCCCTCTGACAGGAGACGAAGAGAATCGTACACATAAATAATTAACGTTTTCTAATAGGATGACTTCTTTTCGGGACAAAACGCCCAATAC